GGGTACATTGAGATAATATGGTGGCGCGTGTGCTATAACAATGTGACGCAAACCGGGTCCGAAAGTAACTGTCCGAAAGCTTCTTAAACGAGTTACCCGGCGGTTTTATTAATAATAGCCATGTATTTACAGTTTATATGTTTGCGGATCTGGATGAGTCGATGTAGATGAGTAGAGATGGGGTAAAACAGACAGGAATGTCGATTGTTCGATCGAACGAAATAGATTTTTATGCATTTTTTTAAGATGCGCTTGTTTAGCCGTGTAAACGACAGTGGTAAAGCAGTCCTTAATGGCTCATTTTCGTAAATATTTAATCCTCTTGATCTAATAAGGAAACTGCCTGCTTGTACGTACTCTCATCATAAATTTGTATTGAATTTTTATTCGTGAGAGGTGTGTACCGTTACAATTAGATAATCCAACGACTAAGTAGTAATTGGCGAGTGAGATTATTTACTTGATTCGCGGAATAATGAGTTGGACTAGACGAATAATAACGAAAAAAGAGCGATCCCTATTGAAATGACAATGACATCGATCGATCTGTTTATCTGTATGTTAGCGGGATTTTATTTAATCGTTCAATGATCCACATTCGTAATATTGCTAATCAAGGCTCGAGTGTACAATCGCATCTCTCGAATCGATCGATTAATACTATCATTGATTAATATTATAAACGTACGCACATTTTGCTAGTGGATTGTGCAATAATCCGGGCCCGATTCAGTCTCAATAGTGGTAATTGTCATTATGTAAATCAATATCATTCGTTGTCGTACGATTACAGTTAGAGCCGCAAAATATTAAATCGTTCCCACGAAAGTAAACTCGAATTATATCGTAGAAAAAGTCCAATGGAACATGGATCATAACACGAGAAATATGTCGATGCATAATTACAGATACAACGCGTATTAACACGTTCATTTGTTACGTGAACATTGCATTTTGTCATATTGATAAACTAATGAGATTATTCGAGGCAAGTTATTATAAATCGACATAGGCGTTCGGATATATATATATATATATCAAAAAAAAAAAAAAAAAAAAAAAAAAAAAAAAACAAAAAAAAAAACAAAAAAACAAAAAAACAACAAAACAATAGTATTATGTATTTGCATAAGAGGCCGTACACACTTTGTACGCGTTTTGTCACGCAATTAATCCTCGAAAATAAAAATCTTCAAAAAATTAGAGTCTGCGTCTCATACGTATAGCTTAATCTATCGACTAGCGGTGTTTGCGCTCCAATCGACGAGGACGAGGGCGTGCGTGTGTGCGTGCGGTGAGTCGAAAGAATGTCGTAAGCTACGAACGGCGTCGCGTCGCGTGGTCGTAGGCCGCCGCGTTGTCCTCGTCGTTTCTGGTTTACGCTCGAAAGACCCGTTCGTCCAGGTATGCGACTACATAGTTATAGAACTAAGTTAGGAAGAGAAGGAGCGCGAGCCTTTTGCCATTCGAGGCACGATGACCGGCTTCGGCCATCGTTTCTGCTCGAGCGTTCCCCCGACCAATTCTCGGTCCACGTGACAGTCACAAGGATCCCTTCTCCGATCCTATTCTCAGAGCTTTTCCTTTATAATGAAATAATGCGCGGGGGTCTGTCAGTTTATTGCGAAAATTCCAGAAAATCAATGACCTATTATAATCGAGCGACTACATCACTGTGCAAAATTACCTCCTAAATCAACTAAGGATATCAGCTATTAATGGCGTTTATCATTATCAAAGTAAACTTTTTTCCATTTTCCTCTTCGTTTTTCTCTACTGCTCGTGTAGTGGGATAAATTTTAATAGCAAATACAGTTAAATATTGCCGGTAATCGTTATTTCACTAGCGATAATTTTGTATTCTACTGGGCAAACCTTCCGTCGAACGAAATCGAGGATAAGAAATTTGTTTGTAGTAGTGTCGTATGAGCTCAATTCGGAGTTATCATTGATTAAAAAAAAAAAAAAAAAAAAAAAAAAAAAAAAATAATAATAATAATAATAATAAGAAGAAGAAGAAAAAAAGAAAAGAAAAAGAAAAAAAAAAGGCTCGAATACGTTAGTTAGAGCGCTGAAAAATAAGGACAAAATTACAACTTAGCCTGTACTCTTACGTTGCGTGACTTTTCCAATTAATATTACAGAATATTTTTTTATATCTTTCTTACAATAAATTCGACTGTTCCGTCATTTCTCTTCTCTTTCTTTCTTTTGAACAATAACATTGACAATAATATAATTTAAGAAAAAATAAACAGTGTTATAATTATAGGGAAAAAATTGTAAAAATGTAATTTTTAATGAATATCAAAGACTTGCTTAACGTGGACAAATAATTTGCAATAATTCCCTTTTATCTCATATTCAAGATTTACATTATAAATTTATTTTATTGCTAGATAGTGCTAAATTCATAAGTTAGCGCTTGAAAGTTGGTGCTATTTAGTCTTGATTGGCAATGTTGGAGGATCTCCTTGATCCTTTTATACTTACAAATAGGAACTCCGGTACATACCTACGAAATCGTAAGAGTAGTAGCGTTCGTAAGACCGTATTTTGCACTCAACTTTACTTTATTATCTTCTTCTACGGTTGTTTCTCAGAAAAAGATGGATGGATGGATAGGTAAACAGACAGATAGTTAGACTGATAGATAGATGGATTGATAGATGGATGATGAAAAAGAAGGGAAGAACAGTATGATAGAGAGATGGAGAGAGAATGAGTGAGTGAGTGAGTGAGTGAGAGAGAGAGAGAGAGAGAGAGAGAGAGATGGTCGGCGAAGGATGGTCCTCATGAATCCCGATGCTCAAAAATCCAACAAAACACTTTTATAATAACGAGTCGTGTAATAATCGATTGATAATCTTTCACGCAGTTTCCACTTCATTCTCATAAAAGCCTATAAAAATTCATTAATTATAATGAGCATTATAATATATATATATATATATATAGAGAGAGAGAGAGAGAGAGAGAGAGAAAATAAGAAGAGATTATAATTTTACCTTCGTCAATTCAGTTATGACCTCTTTTTTACCTCACTATGCTAGTATTGTTAAACTTCGAGTATTCCACACTCTACGTAATTGCTTCCTTGCTTGCTTATCCACTTGTTTACTTCCGTATCTACTTTAAAGGATGCGAATACCGGAGTCGAATTTCTTAAGCCTCGTGCACGATTGTTCGTATTTTAAAAGATCTTCTGCCGTCACCCCTCTCAACTTCGCTACAAAAGTCAATTGTAATATTTAATAACGTATAACATCATTGATTAACATACACACCTTAGTCGATGTGCATGTGAATTAGAAAAAATTTTCAGCTTGAAAGCATGAAAATATAAAATTTTATGTATTAAATGTTATATATTTAATACACAGCTTAATATTGAATATATTTAATATATTTAATTCTCCCTTCCCTACTTTTCATTCGCAATACTAATAATAATAACTTATACGTTTGAAAATTATGAAGGTTTCTAAGACTAACCGACACTCGTATCCATTACGTTAAAATTACTTTACAAGATATATTTTGTATGACCATGCGCGCACATGCCTTCCTCCTTCTATGCAAATTGTAAATATTTATTGTCTCGAGAGTTGTTCCTTATAGATTTAACGATAAGAATTAATTTTCTCATAATATTTAATTAAAAACAGGCATACACAACGCATACAAAACGTACAGGCCTCTTCATAGCATAGAACAAGACGTAAACAAAAGGAAATAAGAGAGAGAGAGAGAGCGAGAGAGAGAGAGAGAGAGAGAGAGAAATATTATAAACATAAAAGTAACAAACGATCTTGTATTGTATACCGTTGTGTACGAAACTTGCGGATAATTGCAGATAATATGCTTATGTACAGTTATTCACATTTACAAAAATAGAACATACGCTTTTTAAAGCTACAGGCAGGAATTTATTATCGCACGTATGACATAATCGTGGTGATGTATTTCAAATGCTGAATTATATTTTATCTATCGGTTTAATGTCGAGTGAAATGATTCGAGCCCTTTGACACTATAAATTATGCTAGTGATCCAGTCTATCGACCAATGGACAGTTACTTTCACTACAGTTATTTGCCGTACAACAATACCTTCCATCGTCTTTAATTGTTTTCCCATGCACGTAACTATGCCAAAGTACACTTGCTTTTTTCACGGCGATTTAAGAAAGGATTTTAAAACTGTCTGTACAAATATCCTCGGACAATGGATTTACTAGGGGAATTTACATTAAATCAGCCCATTATGTTGTCAAGATATTAGTAATTTCATTAGAGATCATAGGTCATTTTACACATTTTAGTTATTTAGATTATTTTTTTAACGTAACGCTAGATATCAAATTATGAATAAAAACAAAAAAACAAAAAAATTATAATTATCGAACGATACAGATAATAGTTATAACGAATAATTATATTAATGATTTTAATGGTAAAACATAATTCTTTGATGATTGTGATTATGTCACCTCGAGATGAATTTATATTACCAGCAATTGCCTTATACTTTCTACATAATCCAACAACGAATATTCTATCGTAGTCACAAAAAATTCATTGCAGGGGGCAAAATCTTCGTTGTACAAACAATTAAAACATTATTGTAAATCATTTGATTGGTCATTCGTGTTAGCATTTTATTATATGAAGATTATATGAAGAACCATGCAATTAGGTTGATCAATTTTTCTTCATTCTATTGTATCCTTATGTAAAATTTTTATTTTATTATTATCAATACTATTATTAATACTATCATTATAGTTTTTATTAATATTTTGTTTTTTTTTTTTTTTTTGTTTTGTTTTCAACCAATTTTACATTAGTTGTTCTTTATTGGCTTTTCACTTTAGTTTGTAAAATCTTTAGGCGGTAAGCGCACAAGTAAGAATTCGAAATTCGGTAGATTCTAATGAAATCAGACATTATAATTAGATAAGATTTAGCTAAGGAAAATTTGTTTCGCCTCATTCGCAGAGGTTCTGGCCATTCAGAATGATCGGACGCGCTCGAGGTCATCGCGCGACGAGGAGATCATCCTGAGCGCGAGCGCCTACGGCGAACGGACTTCCGACGACCTGCTGCAACATCACACCCAAGGATTCCATCGAACGCAGGACATCCTGCGACTGGAGAGCTCGAGGAGCGTCGACGACCTCGACGCCGATATCGAGGAGACGAGATATCCGAGCCTCGGCGATGCCGTTGCTGCCGCAGCTTCAGCCGACGAGCCCATCATCGATGCCCTCACCGCGTCCAAGCTCATCGAGCACATAGACGGCAATCAAATCGAAGTCAAGGCCGGGAAGTACTTTAGGTAGCTATGTCTCTCGATCCAAAACGACTGTTAAATTAAAGGTCATTTTAGACCGACAGAATTATTTAGTTATACCGTCCCATGACATTTAGTCGGCCAAGTAATGCCGATTAACGGCGAATTATTGCTCGATAAGTTATCGTCAAACAGGATAATTTCCACCTGAGCTCGACTAAGCCTGCATTGTTTTACCAATAGGTCGTTGACCTTTCGTAAACCGAATTACGCTTGCTCTGGCTCATAACGCTCGTAACGTCGTATGAATTTTTTTTTTTTTTAAGGAGAAATGACGAAGACGGAGCACGAATCCGTTGTGGTAATGTCATTGTGCGGCATTGATGTTTTCAATGATTCGATTGATAATGAGTTGAGCTTAAATATCGAAAGGCAATAGGATTATTTTGTACTTGATAACCTTTGGCATTTCCACGGCATAGATTTTCATTCTCAAATTCGTTTTAAAGCAGCGGAAATGTTAAATCTAACGTATCTATTGTAAATAAACGTCGGATCGGCATATCGAAGTTGGAGCTATGAGATACGAGTCTAGGGAGTCGTGAGTTTCGAGAAAGATGTCCCTTCGGGGTTTCGAGAGAGTAGCCGCGTTGCAAAAGCTGGCGAAAGGAGTTTGAGGGAATAACGAGTTGACCTGACTTGGTAGGAACATCGTGCCGACGAAGAGCGAAAGCTTGCCGGGGGAAGGATGGGGGGCTCCGCAGGGACAGCGCCAGGATGGTCCCTCGTCGGAGCCCCGGGAGCAACCAGTACGAGCTTCGCAGACACTGTTCTTGGAGAAGCTACCGCGGCAGGCTCGCCGCGAGCCCACGAGGATTTATAGCGAGCACGCGCCACCGCCGCTGATCACCCAGGATCCGAATCAGAGTCCAAGGCAGGCCAACACCGACATCCAGGACATTATCACGGGAATCGTGAAGCTGCTCAACGGTAAGGTCAACGTCGCCGTCAACTCGGCCAAGCCCGTGAGACCCGTCCAAAGTACGAGGTGAGCATGCGCCGACAAGGTAAATTAGCAAAGCCTACCGCCTGACAAGGCGACGGCCGGGGAACATCCGAGGCGAGATCCTTCAAACCCGTTGGCGACTTATTCGTTATTCCTTTCCTTAGGCTTCTCCTTCGGCTACTCGCCGGACGGCATTATCGCGGCATTATCGCGGCATTATCGCGAATACGCATGTCGCTCCAAACTCTCTTGCTTTCTACTTTTCACGTCTACTTTAATATTATTCTTACCAACCGCGCCAACCTCTATTCACATATCAATCTCTCACTAAGACTCTTTTAAGTACATTTTCCGTTGCTATAATCATATACCTGCCATTTTATTTTCTATTATTTTCTCTCTCAATTTCACTACTTAATATCTTATTTCCAAATACATTTTTTTCCATCTTTTTTTTAAAAGTCCAATCAAATATTGTGTTTTTCGTTCTGTAATCAATTCGATTCATCGTTTAAAAGAAATTAAAAATACAAATATATTAGAATATTAATTAATCGGTATTTATAGTTTTACAATTTATTAATAAAATGTTTCATATTTATCCTTATCTCTCATACGAATGCTTATTAAATTCTATTTATGGGAGAAAATTTAGATGCATAATTATTATTTATCAATGCTTTATCAATGTTTGTTCTTTTAAAATTAAATAAATCAATCGATAAAAGAAGGCGAAAGAGCTACACTGTATTAAAACGTAAATCAAATAGCTTTTAAGTTTATCAATATTAGATAATTCTATCAACGAAAGAGAAGAGATCAGCATTTTTATTTTAAATTTTCCTAAATTCGAATATATTGATTATATGATTACGTTTGGAATATCGACATGACGACAGTAATGTATTGGATGGTTAAATATACGTATTTAACAAAAACTTTTTACACTTCATATACGTATGACACCAACATCAACCACAGTAATAATAATAACAACAGTAATAATAACAACAACAACAACAACAACAACAACAACAACAACAACAACAACAACAACAACAACAACAACAACAACAACAACAACAACAACAACAACAACAACAATAATAATAATAATAATAATAATAATAATAATTGATATAATTGATATTTTAGTGGTCAATTTTATTGTTTTAAGAAATTTCTTATTTATTCGTGAAAACGTCAAGAATTACTTATTTATAGCCGATCAAAAGCAATAATCTAAGGATACTTGTTGTACTCTGATTATGCGATGTAAAATTTAGTTGTAAAGCATTGGGTAATTATTGTTGGAAATGGGTGTGAAAATAAATAGCGACGTATAATCGCTATATAATCTACACAAAGCCCGAATGAATTTCAGAATTAACAATAGAGGACCACCAAGAATTTCCGATGTTCTACCTTTGCCGCCCGATTTTGATACCCCCGGGATGAATCCACCGCCGCCTCCACCCAATCAACCATCAACTTACGAAACCCCACCAGCTCCAAGTGCCCCATCGCTTAATCAGCTGCCTCCCGAACCTCCCATCACGTCCTATTTGAACGGAATTCCTCTTCCGGAGACCGTCGTCTCACAAGGCAATCGACCTTGGAATCGTCCGTCAAGGCCAGGTAAATTTTTTTTTTTTAACCTTTTCTCTCTATTTACTATTTGACTATTAAAGATTAACTTATTTAACGTAGTCGCCCGACTACGCTTGAAAGCGATTCACAACATACCGAACGTTCAATCATTGTCACCTATTATCGTGACACTGCATATTATAAATAAACCGTTTATGGGCTCAAAGACGACAATAATCACTAATTTTTTATTTGATAATTTACAAAAAAAAAACTACTCGCTTTGTTTGATGAAACGCTTCTTTAAAATGATAAATTGTTGTATTTACTAGGTACGGTAGCAACAATTTACGAACGTTAAACTATATAACGGAATACTTCCTCTCTTTCTCTCTCTCTCTCTCTCTCGATATTTGTCGGCACTACAGTTATTTTTTACTTTCCAGTTTTTAAGTTTTATTTTTATTTTTATTTAATAGGTAATGTTATTACTTAAAATAAGATAATAGTTGATTTTCTCTCAACGTTCCCTTATACCTTTACAATTGTCAATATCTCAGAATTCGTCAATAGATACAGTGTTGAATATTTTTTTATTAAAAAATTTTGTTGAATCATAGAAGTGCAATATTAAATCAATGGTCCTCTCAAACGGTACAATTGGTCGAGCAATTTAATCGTCAAATTTAACGTACCGTGAAAAGATCATCGTAGTTTTGGACTTGGAGGGACTATTGCCTCTAATACATTGTGAAAGATATTAAAAAAAAAAAAAAAAAAAAAAAAAAAAAAAAAAAAAAAAAAAAAAAAAAAAAAAAAAATTCAACATCTATCAGGATTTTTACAACTGAAATGCACAATTTGGACGTTAAATCGCAGAATAAACACTTAAAAGTCGATGAATTCTATATTAATTTAGTTAATACAATTCGGTTCATTTAGGAATTTGTGATTGAATTGCGGGCACTAAAGTGTCTTTAGTCCTCAACGGAGCGGGGTGGGGCGGGGCGGGGCGGGGCGATCCATTGCCTATAAATTCCTTGATATTTATAATCTCATTGGAATATCATGAACTAGGAACACGGCAGCCGCTACCACCTTACATGCCGTTGCCCGAGCGCGAACATCCCGAGTCGGACAAGAACAATGCGATCGATCCTCACGGCTTGGGCAATAAAATCGATCACGACGACAATAAGACGCGGCTGACGGAGAACAAGGATAACAAGCCGTCGAATCACGATCAGTCCAATCGCTCGAAACCCGTCGCGACTCAACGGCCTCAGATTACCCCAACGAGGAAATACCAATCGACGCTAAAGACGGAAGGCGCAATGGCCGAGAATACCCTCGTGTTAGGGGGCGTGCCGCTTCAGCCCCAACCAATTCCCACCTCCAATGAACATGACGACGATCGGGAGCCGATGGCCGTTGTCCCGCTCAAGGCAAACAACGACCATTCTCCGATCCTAAATGGTAAATTTCTTAAATCCCATGCTCAACGTCATAATTCGCTCCTGTTATTTCGCTGATTTTCAAAATGAACGTTTGCTAATATTTTGCTTGGTTAGAATATCAATGAATCGAGTAGATGTGTATATCGAGAGATAGATGGTGACGATGACGTTTTAAAGCATTAAAGCGACATTAACGACCGCGCAATGAATTATAAATAAGCTTTAACGGTTGCTTCTCATAATAATGAAATTATCGACGAATCCATCATTACAATGTTCTAATGATATTTATAGGATAGATCGCACAAACGTAGCCTACTAATGTCTAAAGTAAATATCGACGGAGAAAGTGGATGTATATAGGCCGAAGATGGTGGATATATTATATTATTAAATTGAAAATTTGTTGCCATCGAACGATTGTATCCCATTAGAGTTTACGACACTCTTTACACACGCGCAATTTGCCGTATGAAATGGCATTAAATAGTTAAAAATTGCAAGTCCACGTAACAGAGCTTAAGGATAAATTTGTTATTGCTTTAACTGTGCGTGTCACTTTACCAGGTCAACTTAATAATTTTCACGCAGATAAGAATAAGTTATCGAAAGTGTCGTCGCCAGGGGCTAACACCAAAGCAGTTTTTCAAACGACACTGAGCGTCGAGACGAGTTCCTCGGTCCAAGTGATCGAGGCAACATCGACCATGTCCATGCTCGAACCGAGCCTAGTTCCGGCAAAGCAGAGCCATTTTTCCGAATCTTCCCCTACGGATCCGGCAATAATCGCCTCGAGCGTCGCGTCATTGGAGCCGAGCATATTAGCGAGCGTAAACGTCGATGTGGATCCGACGACGAGTTCATCCATCCCGACCGAGGAATTGTCGACGAGCCTATCGAAGACGACGAATTTATCGAAGAAAGCGACTGGCCAATCCATCACCGGCACCACCGCCACATTCTCAAAGAGTCAAAGTACGTCGTACAAAATTAATCTTACTACAATGCCAAATTACGATTATTGTCGCTACGAATTGTACTCCTTCCTCCTTCTCCTACTTATACCTACATACAATTATTATCCAATTTACATAAATTCCCCGCGATATTATAATCACACATTGACACAGAGTCTAAATAATGGAAAATATAATAACTATATCAGTGAAGGTGGGGCGAGTTGATAAAATTCATCCAAAATTAATGTTATTGATGGCGAACTAACGTTAGAGATATTGTAATAGGCTCCGTGTACTCGTATCGTCCTCGTCCTGGAATAGTCTTGGACGACACATTGGATTACACGGGGTCGCAAGGAATTGTCACTCACAGGCCTTTTGGACCACCGAGGCATCCCTCGAATCCCGACACTTTTGACGTCGTAGTGTCAGCAATCCAAGGACCCGCTGGATCCGGCACTGGTATGCTTTTGATCTAATCACAATCGCGCAATTATCAACTCGATGATATCTTACATTTTAAAGGCGAGGTTCGAGTGCCGGTGAACGTGGGCCACGGCGGCGGTAGCACCGATGATATTCTAACGTCTTCGGTAGAGGGACAGGGTTTCGTCAGTATAGACGGCAAGAGGACATATCTCAATCTTTTTGATTCTACGGAGGCTGCGAGTCCAGGACCCAGTAACACTCGATTGCAGCCAACGAAAACGCAAGCAACGTCCGTAGTTGGCACAGGGTAGGCAGTGCGATACAACCTCTTATCACCTAGCTTTAACTTAACCATCGTCTTCGCATTTTAACGCGAATAATTGCCAAATCGTTCGTCCAGAAGAAGCTCGTTTAATGAGTTACGTTTACTACTCTCTAGCCAGTTCTTTATAATTAATCGCGAAACTTTCGCCACGTGGCATTAAATGGCGAGATGGTAAAGCGCTCGCTCAATCGCATTAAATTCGCACGCGAGCAATAGACGTTGTTAGTATGCGTATGTGCGCGTGCGCGTGCGTGCGTGCGTTAATTAAAACTAGTAGAGCGCATCATATTGCGCGCGCGAGTCAGTCGAGTACAACGACGCACTTGGCATTCGTAGATTTGCCGTACCGCAGAGTGAGAGCACAGCGGTAGCAGCGGCCAGGCCCAGCGTTCCGGCGAGGAGACCGACGTTCCATAGAAGGCCGACGCAACCGCCGGTGAGGATCGACACGTGCATCGTCGGAGACTCGAGCACCTGTGACTCTAGTCAGCACGAGGCCTGTGCCACCGTTCAAGGGGTCTCGGCTTGTCACTGCAAGCCCGGTTTCGCGAGGATCACGCACTCCCTGCCCTGCAAGAGTAAGTGTTGCCGACAGCCGACCGAGGTCACCTCGCTCAATATGTAACTGATACCTGCACTTAATACGTAAATGCGAGTTGTTCCGTTGGATTGTCCTCAGGCTTCTCTGACTCGCTTGTTCTATGCAGTCTTTTGCACAATCAACGAAAAAGCAAAAACAAAAAACAAAAAAACAAAAAAGCTAAAAAACAAAAAAACAAAAAAACAAAAAAAACAAAAAAAAACAAAAACAAAAAAAACAAAAAAAAACAAAAAAAAAACAAAAAAAAAGGAAAAAAAAATTCTAGTTTTATTGTAAAAATAAACTTTCATTTTAGAGATCGTAAGCATTGTCGTGTCCATTAGGGTCGATAAGATTTACGACAGAAAAATGATTTGGAATAAGGATCTCGATGACAATGACTCGGAATTTTATCAAACCTTGGCCTACGAGGCGAACCGAGCCGTAAGTTTTACGCATCGCATTGCTTTATAATTTAATATTGTTAGAATAATGTTAATCATAATGGTTTTGCTAATGGATTATTATACCATTTGCATAAAGTGAGTTTTCGCTATAATTGTCGAGTTTTACAAAAATTGGAAAATTAGCGAGTGAATTTTGCTTATCGACGAAATATATATATATATATATATAATGGCCTCGGGCTCTCTCTCTCTCTCTCTCTCTCTCTCTCTTCGTTTAGATCGAATCAGCCATGTCGATGACTCCATTTTCCGACGAGTACGTCGGATCCTCCGTCAATAACGTTTATCAAGGGGATATAAGTCAAGGTCAAGGCGGTGTTTTCGTTAACGCGACATTGAAATTGGCGTACGAGCCGAGAACCGCGAGACAAGGTTTAGCTGGAGATTTGCAAAAGCACCTTCTCGGAGTCATTCAAAGACGATATAATAATATTGGAAACAGTGCGCTTCATGTTGATGGTCCGGCCGGTTCCATCTCCAATCTTCAAGGTATGCTAAATCAATACAAATTTTCAACCGCATCATCGATTTTTCCTGTTTTTAGTCTTCTTTAGTCACCGAGTTGCCCAAAAACTAGCCATATTTGCTTAACAAATTGGAATTTATTTAACGACGCGTACAAAACTAGTGGCGACAAAATTCAGTGATTTTACAATAAAATTGCTCCATTATTTACACATTTTACATATTTTTACAATACTACACGGCAATTTACTTATGCCGATCGATCATAAATCAACAGATTTAGACGAGTGCGCGTCATCCGAATTAAACGACTGCCATTCGTCAGCCACGTGTGCTAATACTTGGGGTGGCTTCACCTGCACTTGCAATGCAGGATTTAAGGATCCACATAAAAGTGATCAGAGCACGGCGGGTAGAACGTGTCTCTCCTGCTCGACCTCGCACTGCAATAATCGAGGGACCTGCTCCTATCAAGCCGATCAAATGCATTGCTCGTAAGTTTTCACCTAATGTAATTTCATTGGAGAATTCAATTGTATTTAACATAAACAGCGGATATGACACAATGACAATGATCCTTAGATGCACTGGAAATTATTACGGAGCTCAATGCGAAGTTGATGGCGAAGTTCTCGGTGTTGCTATCGGAGCTTCGGTCGCAGCATTGATCATCATAGTCCTAACGCTCGTTTGTCTTGTTATGTGGAGGTAAATTTTTCACGACAACTTTCTCTTTAAACGCGTGCCTGGGGGTTATTGTTCACGTATCACAATTCGAATCACGAGATAAAAATTGCTATTGCTACAAATTTCATCGCGTTTGTATGAGAAATGAGTGAACAATAGACTTGGTAACCTCATCGTTAATCTATTATTATTATTATTATTAAACATTTTTAGATGAAAATACAATGTATTTATAATCTCTTTCCCCGAAAATCATCGATCATTTTAATAAGTTCGATACTCTTAGGCAAGAATGTCGCGTAACTTTCATGAATATTACTCGTCCTTTCAGCCGACGCTGGTCACAAGAACAAAAAACAATTTCCCCGGTGTATGGTTATGTCCAAGGCGGTCTTCCCGGTACATTACCAGGTAGCGTAGTTTTTCTCTTTTCTTTCTTTCTTTTTTTTTTTTTTTTTTTTTAAGCATAATAATGTCGACGTTGTATCGTTATTGAGAGAGGAAATAATGGAGACGAATGAATGTCTTAGCAACCTTAGCTCGTGTCGGATCCGTTGGTACACTGGCATCGGTTAAACAAGGACCTCCAACGAATCTTCCTCCCTACATGTGGGCGCAAGTTGCCGATCATTTGGCAACGGCTAATGTCTATGCGGTATGGTTCAAGTCATTTTATCCATTTCATAAATCGTGTCTAGTTTCTCACACCTTTTCTCAACGATTGCACATTCAAAAGTGTGATTAAAAGAGGAAGATTAAATGGCTGGAAAATGAAGCTTTTACGCGAGTCTCGTCGCTCATTCGTAAATGTAAAACTTACTTCATAAGCATCGGTGTGAGAGATACGTCGAGTAGAAGAGATGCACGAGTTGGTGCAACGCGCCTTTCGCGACAGATTTTGCCCTCGTCGCGGGCTGTCGGCTAACTGGATCTGCCGCAAGAGGCGCGTCGCACTGGCTCTGGCAGGTCCTTAGAAAAAAAGTAGAATCTCATTGAGGCTGCGAGTGCATTTATAGACGGAGCCGATGGGCCCGACCCGGCCAAGTTCGGCCATGTTCGGATACCCGACGCTGAGTCTCCATGGGACGCTACCACCGGTGCCGTTGCCGCGCCTTCAGGGTCCACCGCGCGCCAGGCAAAGGCACCAACCGGAACCTGACAGCTCGGACTCCGAGCCTCAGGACAAGGACCGGGCCGATCTCATACCGCAGAGCAATTTCCAGGTGCCCCGGCCCAAGTCTCGCTCGTCCTTGGCTGTGAGTCCTGCTACCTTCGATTTAAACGGAAGCTCCTCGCTTCGTTAGATGCAATTTTTCCTTAATCTAACGCCACGGAAATATAATTTTCTTTCCCCGTCCACATTCAACATACCTTTGTAAATATCTGGTAGGAAAGTTACTTTTATGAAAGAAAGCCACGGATTAGCAGTGCATTCTATACTTTAAGAATAAGCGTCTGCTTTTTTTCTTCAAATTTTTTTCCCCCTCCGTTCGATAATCATTTTCATAACACAAATGTGAGTATTTGTGTTATGTTTTTTTTTTATATTTATATATATATATATATATATATATATATATATATATATATATATGTATGTATTAAATATTTCATAACACAATATGCTGAGTACAAAGATTATAGCCTGTTTAATTATCCTTAAGCTCGTAATAAAGAAAGTCTTATATATTTATATATGTATTTAACAATTAGCTTTAAAATGTTCTATTATCTTAGATTTCGATTTAAAAAAAAAAAAAAAAAAAAAAAAAAAAAAAAAAAAACATCTATACGTAAAAAGAAAAATATATCGGCACAGCTGAATCGAATGAAATTCCAGTTTTTTTTTTCCCCATTTTTTCATTAACTTTGATGCAACCAATTTATCGAAACTTCTTTTCCATATAATTGTAATTGAAAGCCTATTAATTTACGTTGAATTTACAAATAGGAATGCAAAATTCAATTGACAAACGAAAAAGGAAATGTCAAGCATATATGCATTAATATATATCTATTAAATTGTAGAATCAAAGTGGAATTTATTACGACGTGGAGTACGATCAAGGAGATGCTCGACACTTGTCGAAGAATAACATACCAATGTCCACTTACAGCATGGCGCCGTACTATCGGACGTGATACACATGGACATAATAACGAAGAATGGATTTCGTTAATTAAACGAATTAAATGGATCAATTGTGTAACTATTCATTGCTCTCATCCATGATTTTGCTAATTATGCAGTACATTATTAAGAATTAATTATGAGATTAACGTTTATTTGAAACCTCATTACGCGAATGCTGCGGCTAAAAAGTACTAAAACAAACGAATATTGATTTGCAATGAAACAAAAATAAAAAAAATAAAAAAATAAAGTAATAAACAAATCAGGTGGTAGAGTAGAAACGAATTAGCATTGTAAAAAAGTTTGCGAATAGTCGATATAAGCAGCTCTATAAATAAAATAAGATTTTTTTGAGAAACATATTTCTGTGGTGACGGTCTACTTACTGGTCTTCTATTCAAGCATGTTTCTCGAAAAATCAAATTCACGAACGACCAATATAATAAACAACTTTGCGAAAAGAAAAAAATTATTACAACGGCTCTTCGAGGAGTAAGGCAGACACTGCCAGAGGCTTTATTATATATCGATGACTTTTCGTTGCGTGCAAAGCAAGTGACGACGCAATTCTGTAATTAATTATTATATAATATATTTTTTAACGTTTAATTATAATATACATTTGAAATTTTAAATGAATGATACTCAAATATTTGGTTTATTAATTTATTTACACCCAGTTTTTAATGTCATGTGTCATTCGTCATGACGTTTGATTATACACACATATATATATATATATATATATATATATATGCATGCACCCACGCACACACACACACACACACACACATACATACGCACGAGAGCGCGCGCACATATATACATATATTATTGTAATCTTTCGCGATTATTAATATTGTTGATATAATTATAATGTGGAAATTATTTTTTCAACTCTTTAAAGTCCATAAGAATTCGATGAATAAGAATAAAACTTGGCCTACTAGCTTTTAATAATTTTCATTTTAGTTTTTTAGAGTGAAAAAAAAAAACGCTAGAACAGAAGAAAACGGGATAATAACTAATTAATGATTCGCTGGTAATGTTACAGCGCCACACATTCATCGTGTATGTCAGAGATATAAAAGAAACATTTAAAATTTGAAATTATACGTAGAAAAAATAAGCTTTCGAATAAAAACGTATCTTTGTGCTTGTGCGTGTATATATGTAAAATTCGCGTATACAATAAAGTAACATTATGTAGATAAATTTGTTGATACAATCAACGGCTTCATAGAAGTACATTTATTCACAAAAATCTTTTCTTTTTCTCCTAAATACTTATTATATTTACGGATTAAAGTGTAGGATTTAAATTGTATTCATATTTATTTATTACATAAATTTCATATTATGAAAATGCTCATAGAGAGGGTATAATCTTTATATATATATATATATATATATATTTTTTTTTTTCGAAAGCACACTTTGTATTAACCATCTCGATCTCTCGAAAGTCTTACAGGTGACTTTAATGTTTCTCGAGATATTTAAATAGTCATTTTATATAAACTTATTATTATAATTTAACAATACACGTGTAAGTACAATTAACCACGTGATATGAATAAGCAGGTACGTATATAGTCAGTAAAAAGTATGAAGATTTTTGGAAGGCAAAGTGGACGAAATTTTAAAACTGCTGATTGGATTAAATTATGTCACTTTATCAGCTTGAAATCATTCGCTATTTGGTGATAAAAAATAAAACTCAAAATTACTAATGAAATATGTATACTGTACTTTTTAACCAATAGCTGAAATAAATGAATATGAAACATTGTAAAATTAAATTCTCAGAACTCGAAGGAATTACAATAAGTGAAATTAACGAGTAACAAAAATTTCGTTGCAAAGCTAATGATTATTAGAAAATCTATAGGTTCGTTGGTCTTCATAGTAATCTTTGGTATCACTTGGCAATTAATTTAATGAAAATTGATTAAAATGATTCATTGGTCGATAATTATTAGTTTCTTTCGCCAAACAAACGAATGCGCGACCGTCTCTATTGTTACATAGTTTAAACGGTTTATATATATATATATATATTTACATAGAAAAGTAGAAGTAAATAGTCGAAGGTATAAAGTATCACAAGGACTAGTATGATTTTTTTATTTTGTTCTTTTTGTTTGAATCAAGGCCCAAATTCATAGTCGAGTGTGCTCATTTTCAAAAATAATACAACGCAAATGGGCGTCTTTTACATCTTTTAAAACACGCCTCTATCTAACTGAAAAAAGGCTTTAAAAAATTGTATAAGTACAAAAGTCAATAGGGAAGTTGTTCGACTATGAATGTGGGACAATGTAACGTTATATTTCAATGATTGGGCGATCTGCCGTAATTCCTTCTATACAACATTACCATTTTCAAAATGATTCAAAATGACTTTCACGTTTTTTTCCCGCGCATATTCTTAATTCCTGTTTAGTTTATTTTATTAACTAAATTAATTATAATGCAATAATTGACTTAATGACAAAATTTCAGCAAATCGCAATATCAATTATATATATCGATAGCATACTTATTATAAGCGCAATAATTGCAATTTAAATTGATAGAATGAATTATAGTAATATCGATTAAGTTGACCAATTTCATTATAGAAATATCCATTTAATGTATGTGCATCAGTCTTTAGTGTTGCAGTACGAAATATCGCTAATATAAATACATCGGTAAATAAGGTAATTGAAAAGTCAATTTATCTTAGAAAATTTAAATGCTATAAATAATTAAAGTTAAAGTAATAATTATCAAGGATGTGGAATCGTGAGATTTAGAATATTTGCATTACTATGGTTTGATTATTTGTAGCGCGTAAATTTTTTATCCTTACTTTTTAACGATAGAAAGAATAGAATTAAAGTTGCATACAGATAAACAATATTTCTAATTGTGCATATTTTAAATTCATAAGAAAAGATTCTTATTAGGAACCAAAGCTATGTAAGCTATTTGAAAAATGGACTTTGAGGCACGCGGCTTCCATTTTTCATAATCGAGATGGATTCTATCAATGAATATATTAGTAAAAAATTGTGCTCCGTAGTGGATGTTTAGCGCATCGTGACAGTTAAGTCACCGTAAAAAGCTAATTGTTCAAGCGATGACTTAATGTTTGATGTTGAACGAGCATACATTGTTATTATAAATAGTCATTACGCAAACAGTAAAACAAACGGTATTTTTAATAAAGCATTTTAGATTAGAAAATGTAATGTGAAAAGTGAAAAGTAGGTGTATAAGCCTGATTTTCAAATAAATACGATTGCTAAACAAAATTTACAACAGTTCATCGCTCGAAGCTTAAGTTTAAGAGAAAGGATATCAAGATCACAGTCGTATAAAATGCATAGGAATTAGAAAAACACAGATAAAACCTTTCCAGTTAGTTCCTATCTGTAATTGAATTCCAGACAAAGTTGCAACTATGATAATAAACGCATCTTGGCAAGTTGATTTGGAAGTTCGTTTGAAAATACGTAAAAGATTTCTCTCGTGTGTACTTTATTATCTGTCCTGGTATTGATTTTATGTAGTTAAAATTTTTACGTACTCTAATTGCATTGATTATGGAACAATATTCTCCATAGTCATATTGGCTTCAAGAATAGTAGCTTTTTATTATATTGAAATAAATAAAGAAATAAATAAGACTTTTTTTTTTTTTTTTTTTTTTTTTTTTTTTTTTTTTTTCCGTTCTATTTATCCTGTAAATATGTATCCTGTAAGTGTCAACAACAAAATCCTTTATCGTAGTTGATTATGAATTTATCACTGTTATGATTTAAAAGTTTAAATTACACATCTAGAATTTTATAGAAAATACTTGCAATGAAGTTTTTTCCCTTTAAATTAAGCAAATGGCTATATTATACTTACAAGACATATAGACTCGATTAGGTTAGAAAAAGCTAAATTTGCATTAAGCATTTTGGTAATATTTGAAATTGACCATGCAATTATGGCAGTGAAGAAGATATTTGGTTATCTATATAGAGAAGTATTTAAAAGCGATGTAAAGTGAAAAATCGTGTACTCGTTAAGCTTCTTTCTCAAAAGATTATTTTTCATCTCTCGCTAATTCTCAGTTGATAAGTATTTTTAATCTTGCTAAGGTTGCCATAGCTTTTATTCATAAAAATGTATTTGACATTCCTGTGCGGTTTTTGAAGTTCATCGCTAAAACAATCAATTGTTTTATAAATTATTTTCATGTTTTAAAGTGGATTAGGATATCAATGTGATATTGTATGCTTTTTAGCTCATTTATTCAATATTTTCTATATTTTAACATTTTATCCATGCGTTTATTGAAATCAATTTGTTAATTAAAAATACTAACTGCTCATAATGAAAGTTCTTTACCAAGTAAGACTATGTAGTAATAACCATGTCAAATTATGTAATAAGGTTATACTTACTTTAGTGTAGCTTATACTTGTGTTTGTGATTGTGATTGCGATTGCGGAGTCGCGTTTGATTTATAAAAACGATCAAATAATTGTTTTAAACTCATGACTGTTCCAAAGCCTGAACTAGGATCCATGTTAATAAAAGTATCCAAGTTGTCGGTGCATGCTGCGATATTATTGAATAAATAATAAAATGCATATAATTTAAGTTCATATTTTGTTTGTATGAAAATCTTATGAAAATTTGAAAATGTTTTGATTTCGTATTAATAAAAATTTCAATTTAAAACGAAATTATATGGAGACTTACTAGATGTGCAAATTGGACTATAATCTGGTGGAGTTTTAATCCATGTCCCATCTTTTCTTTTCATATGTTGCCTATCCGATGCAAAATACTTAAGATATTCACTGGCTAATACCAATCTGAATATTCTATGCCATTCCGGAGGCAAGGCTTCGTCCCTTCGAAAAGTTTCCGTCGCATACTTCCAGAAATGCGTAGGAAAAGGTAATTCACTGTCAAGATCATAAACAACAGCTCTTTCATCTGGAGCATAAATCAATATCACATGATAATCCTGTACAATTGAAACATATAATGCTATGAATGTGTACTTAGGAATAAAAGCATGTTAAAGAAAGTAAGTGAATTAAAATTTAACGCACCCATATCACTAGTTTATCTTCATCTTTACCAGAACGTTGTCTCCATAAAGGTACACTACGTCCTGGATTGCTTATAAAAGCGGCGTAACAATACTGAAGTTCCGATCCGTGCTTCGTTGCAATCTCTTGGCACAGCTTCCAGACATTTTCTTCGCTAAAAATGACATATAATTCTATAATACATCGTCACAATAAAGAATATTTCAATACTTTAATTACTACAATAATTGCTGCCAAAAATTTATTTATAATGTAATGTATCGAAGAAGTAATTTACTTTCTATAATTTATAAGGCACAAAAGGTTTTTAGTATTAATACATTTTAACGAATAAAATGGATAAAATCAATAAGTCAACGATACATATATATATATATATATATATCGATATTTATGTGTCTAGGAAGAGACGATATATATATATATATATATATATATATATATATATATATATATATATATATATTTATAGAATTTTTTAGAACATAATATACATAGAACATAATATTTAGAACATAATATAAAATTTTTTTGATAAATTACTTTATTCTATTTATGCTAAAAACTCTCGATTGAAATTTGACACAAAGCGATATATTCTAAAACTGGTCAAAGGACAAAATTTTTAAACTCACAATTATCAGTTTACAATTACAAAACTAAAGCAAACATATTTTTTAAATAACATTCATTTTCACATTTTCAGTATAAATATGACTGTTCAAACATAATCGATGGAGTTTTATTATTTGAATAAAAATATCAATGTGCTCATGCATTAATATTACGATCTTTGCTATGTTGGGGCAAAAGGTCAACAAAACGTCCCGAAAACTCAATAAAAAATTAACGGATAAAATATATATAAATTAGAATTAATCGTTTGGAAAAAATATTTGTCGATCCCCGCATTCTGCAGAGATAAAACGATAATAAAATACAACTAGGGAACAAATTGTCCTTTACAATAAGCGGAGTACAGTATTATTATTCAGTGGTCGCGCAACTTTGCACATGCGACATAATTATCGATCCCCCCGTGGAGTTTTGCCGCAGCACGAAACTCCTTAAACGCACTTGACCTAGCCGATATCGAGGCGTATAAATGAGCGAGACGGAGTGAGCGAAGCTTCGATTACACTCACTTTACATCACACATTTCATACAAATCCTCGACTAATCACGACGATTTATCACAACGTCCGTACAACATACCAAAAGCAGCTCGAATAGATGCAATCCGATCTCTTGGAGAAGAGCGACACTAATGATTTCGTGTTACTGCTCACGATATTCTTCACAGCCATTTTCCTCCTTTATAAATGCAATAGTTAAACTTGTACTATTTCTCCAGTAAACCCCAGGCTCGCTCTATTCGTCTTTCTCGTCCAACCTTAATACCCTTGTATATTTTTGCCTTATTCCCTTCTGCCCTTCTATTGTAACCATAAAAAAAGCAATTTACTCGATCACAGGCTCCTTTAGGTTCGATCCACTATACTTCTCTCCCTGTTACTGTTTTTCATTGATCACAATGTACACTTATTAACGACCTCTTTACTTTCTTCACCGTACGACCAGTTATTTATTATTCCTACTGATGCTAAGGACGACTAAACATAAAATATATAATCGTCGCTAGTACGCCATTAACCCTACACTTAAACTTCCTAGCGCTAATGGTCGGACTCGTTAGCCTTCACGTTGCGCAATAATTAATCAAGCTTAGCGATATGTCACTTTCGTATAAATAAGCAATAATATGCTAAAGCCACCGTTACAAGTCCAATGCAATTCGAACGAAGAGAAGAAGGGGGGGGGGGGGGGGGGGGGGGGGGGGGGGGGGGAGGGGGGGCAAGTGAATCGTATGCTCATGCGCTGATTACAATGCGTACAAAGTCCATGTAAATCTTTATAATTTAGAATTGAAAGTGAAAGTAGCCTCCAAGTATGGTAGTGGGAGAAATGTAATAATTGGCAAATTATCATAATGCTAATCTTGGTGGCTTCTTTTGCGTGGCAATGTGAGTGAATGCGTGAAAAATGTGTAATGACGAGGAGGTAAATTTACGTAAATTTGAAAAACAAAAAAAGAAAAACGAAACGTCACTAACGAACATATTAAACAATGGCAAATATTTTCTTTGGCTGACTGGACCACATTGTATTTAAATTTCACTGGAATAACGTTTGCGAGCACGCGTTAATGCAAACGTAGTTTTAGATGAAATTCACGAGAGAAAAGGGGGATGATGCAGTGTCACCTTCCATCTCGGTCCAACCAGCCAACTCATAAGACTTAATAATAATAATAATAATAATAATAATTGCAGTTTTTTAATAGAAAAAGAAAGAAGGAAAAAATAATAATAATATTTAATGACTGGATTTACAGTCACCGTATCAAACATCTGTAGCGAATCATTGCAATTTACAGCTTTTTATAAGTCAATTAAATTTAAAAATCAAACAACCGAGCTGAGAGAGTCGTTTAATATTATCGGCACAATTAAATCAAACATTCAATGTGTGCAATGTCATAATTATATGTATAATATAACTATATGTATATAAAAGTATGACAAACGCAAAAAATGCATTTTCTTGGAAAAAAAAAGACAAGAAAATAAAAACGAACTAACAATTCTAGTACTTTGCTGTTTACCGATCTCCATCGAGACAATGTAATGTATGAAAGTTATTATTTTTGATGTGCCGATATTCATAAAATTGTAAATATTTTGAAAGATTGTACGTTATGTTTAAATAAAAAAAAAAGAAAAAAAAACAAAAAAAAAAAAAGGAAATAAATATTTTTTAACTTTAGAAATGTCATTCGATTAGATGTACTTGTGTGAAATGTGTACAACTCCTTCATGGTTTAATTGAAAGAAATGTACTTTTTTTTTTTTTTGTTTTTTTTTCCTTCATTTATACTGTCGAAAATGTCGAATGTCGTAAAACATTCGATAAAAGAAGCAAACTGTATTTGCTTGTAATTTATTAAGATATTTTATACGCCTGACGAATGAAATATGAGTATATAAATATTTAAAAGAATACTACTTAAGATAACAGCTTTTTGATTGCTCGAAAATGTTATTTTCATTACTTTTTTCGACCTTTAAGAGTAATTTTCATACGCACAACGCATAAAATAAGGCTCGAGCACGTTTCAAATGCCATACCAATAATAGTGTACATAGTTGTGCGATAAACGAGCAAAAACAATTATTTATTTTAATTAGATTTAGTTGGAAAATCTCGATATACTTTGTTTATTGATATATTTGCAAGAATATATCCTCTCATCGCCGATAAGTGGGTAATCCATTAATACCTTTAGTAAAAATTTTCAAGCATAACAAGTCAATAATTATTACAAATCGCACAGTTATCGAATTTCCAGTTTAAATAAATGTTTATTAAATAGGCATTTTAAGAATTATACGAAGTAAGAAAAGGATGAAAAATTGAGGAAACTGCTGTAATATTTTTTTCACCCTCTTTCGTCATAATACTCGTGGACTACAGAATCTTACAAGTCTTAACAATCTCTTGAAAATCTTGTCAAGGCATCGTTGAGTTAAAAAAGGTGATGGGTATGTGACGTGATTTTGGGAAAATTATCTACAAATAATTATGTGTATTACGAATGCAAATACTATAATTGCTTATTTTCAATGGCCCAATGTGACTAAGATTTAAACGAAAAAATTATATAGAGAAAAATATTAGGATGAAGAAGGTGGAGTTGAGATTAACGTTCACGTTAAATGCTGTGATGCATGTAAGAAGCAAATTGATAAGTAAAAGATTATACTTCTATTGTTATAAACATTCGATTTATTTCGTTAAACTAAGCGACGTTTTTAAGGTTGAAATTTTCTTACAATTGCAATATATATAATGGAGTTAGAATAACGTAATATTTCATAAATAGTTTTGAATATCACAATTATATCATATAAAATCAATAGAAATATTAATCGGTAAATAAGTGGAATCAATTATGATGAGAAAATGTCACTACTCTAATGAGGGATTAATAAATTTTAATAGAAAGAGAGAGAGAGAGAGAGAGAGAGAGAGAGAGAAAGGACAAATACAATTCCTGAAATAAATATTTTTTAAAAATATTTTAACTTTTATTTATAATTTTTATATTTTCTTTCAATACATTAATTTTTTTATTAATACATTATTATAGTTAAATTCTACTATTATACAAACTTGTTATAATTATTCTTTTAAATATATGGCTCTTTCAGCTCAATATTCATTAATAAAAGTTGGCAATCACTTTGATTATAATTAATTAATTAATTCATTAACCATTCATTCGTTAATTGTATCTTCTTTGTCCATAGATAAGCCTTAATAAATTTTGCTTCTCACATTGTAATATTATAAAGTTATAAAATTAAAATAGCATATAAAAAATAGGTTCAGAATTTTTTAAATGAATCATATGTTTTTTTCTATTTAGTCAGTAATATTTCAGTTTTCCAATTTGTAATCGATAAATTATTATTTATTATTGTACAATATTTTTACCTAATTATGGATAAGTTGTCTAATCAATTACCATATTTGATTTGTTTTTCAAATTTAATATTCTCTACAGTGAAGCTCTTTTGATTTATAGATTAAATTTTACAGTTCAGAACGTGACAAATACATTTTCCCTTCCTGATTATCAGTAGATGATACCGTACTTTTTTTATGTAAGGGTTCAATTACTTACAAGCTGAATACGTATGTAATGTAATATATACAATTTCTATAAAGATGAATAAATCTATTATGTGAAACTGTTAAATTTATTGTAATTTACTCATTTCCTAATGGTCTATTCAACAAACACATTTTGTATATCTTGAATTATAATTTATAAGATTATTAATAAACTTTAAGGAAGTATCTGAAAATGTTATTTTGTTTGTTCATACCAACTATTGATTTTTGTCAACGATCAACGTTTTAATTTAACTTGGTTGAATTCTATATTATATAATGATTAATAAAGGATAATACTTCTTGATTATATTATCCGCTTAAGACCTCGATTACTTGCATCGCAATGTTAGTTAGTACAATTTATAAATATTATATGGCTTCTTTCGATTATAGATTTCAATATATTTCGATGCGCTGCTGAAGATTAAATAATGTTCTGACAATGAAACATTTATTTTGTAAAAGAAAGAAAACAAGAATTAGTTTTATTTTGATAATTTACAATTAATATAGCGGTTCATTCCTGCAATTTTATTTGTATAATATTCAGCTTCTACGTTTTAAATTATCATGCAATAATAATGTACTTTATTTAGCAAATATTATGTATGTACATATTTTCAGATAAATTATCTTAATTTAATCCAGTATTATCGTTTGTCTAATAAATAAATAATAAGGTTATTGTGCTAATGAAAGTTAAACATTTGTAGTATGTAGTAATTTCATGTTTTTATGTTTTAATACAAAATCGATGGACTTAAGACGATTTCTATATTTCCATTTCTAATTTTGTATTATATAATAAACAAACATATATTAATATACTTGTCGTTACTTTCATGAATTTACATTATCATATTTAAATATAATAAATTTATTATTATACCATTACTAAGGTAGCGTAAAATGTTTTATAACAATCTCCCTTCAAATGATTATTGTACAATATTTTCTTTTGCTTATAATCTGTCAATGCGATTATTGTTTTATAGAAAAATAATGTAGAGTTAGTACAATTTAATCATTTTTAGCTTGAATAGAATATTTTGTAATGCAATACAGTAAATTGGTTAATTGTTTAATTCATAATTATTGTTAGAAATAAATCTTTCATTTCTCTTATTTGTATTATTGAACCGTTCAAACAATTCAACGTAATTACTTGAACAAATTTTATCCTTTTATTTATTCGGATCATTATATATTTTGTGATTATATTATTAAAATCAACGTGTAATTATAATATTTTGTTGTAAAAATAAATTTTTCCAATAATATTTGAGAAACATGATGAAGCTTAGAATAATCAAAGAATAAAATTTATATTTAGAATCTGTTATTAATTGCAATAATATCATCTATAATAAACCCAATACTTTTTACATCATTAATGATGAAATAAATATTTTAATAATAGAAGATTTACATTTATTTGTTTCTTCAATTGGTTTCCATCAATAAAATATTAGACACGTATTTATTTCTTTTTACACAAACTATTATCACACTTTATAAAGTACAATAACATTATTTTTTAACCTACAAAAGATTTGGAGTTCTATATTTTAATTTTTAATCATTCTTCTGACTTTTCGTAAGATTTCCTTGTTAGAATTTAAAAGACGAGTGCACATTGTAAATCGGAGAAATTCCATTTTCCACATACATAAAATAAATACCAAATTGCACATACATAAATAAAAGGTAATTGTATATTACAAGTATTTGTTAAAAGATTACCTGTTAGCCCGAGTTATTAAACAAACATTACCTTTAATTTCATAATGCAAATGATAGACAAAGTCTATCACTTATCTATGACAGTAACAATAATTTGTATCCCGTTCGAAAATATTAATTCAAAGACAATTATTAAGATAATTAGAGGAGTACGAATAAAATTATTATTCGTGAACTAGAGCCTCGTAGCGGTCGAGTGCCTAAACTTTGTAGATAATTAAATAGAAATTTATTTGTAAAAGAAAAATGTTTATATAACGAGTATTATAATGGTAAACGCCAGTGGATAATTTTTGTATTTCAGCTCACGTTAAGTAATCGAATATTTTAAAGTCACTTAAAATAAATAATAAATTTATCCTTCCTCTAATCCGCAACTTCTTACTTATTTCAACTTGAAGTTTAAAAGGTTACAATGATATTATCTAATACAATTATAAATCTTATTAATTACAACATTGGCTTTTCCAATATAAATATAATCGGTAACTGTGCATTACGCAGCTTAAATAGGATGAATCTTTCATAATAGAAGGATATAAATCTTTAATAGTATCAAAATTATTTTAAAAAATGCATGTTTACAAGATATGTAAAAGATAAAAATATAAAAAATAAGAAAATATATGATGTTTTTTTCATTTTAATAATACTATTCTTGCATATCGATATCATACGAATGATTTGTGTGCAATAAGGTAATATAAATTTATTATTGTCTTATAAATAAATAATCATAAAAATGTCTGTAAATTCATTACATGATAATTTACTATAAGGTTTGTATTTTAAAGATTTTAAAGAGAAATACTAATAATTGTATGTACAGTTAAAATTTTCAATAAGTCAATATAGGCGATCTAAACATTGAAAAAAAATTTGCATTTACTAATTTATAAAGTTGTTTTATATAGGACATAATATAGCTATGTTTTAATGAATTGAAATGTTTTGTCAATATATTGAACATATTTCGATTAAAACACAAAGTGTATATTTATTTATTTATTTTTTTTTATTTTTTTTAAATCCAAATACAATCTGAAAAGTCTAAGAGATTTTGGCAATTTATAATCAAAGCATATATTGATATTATTGTACAGCAGTAGTAATTATGCAAACAAACTTTACTCATCAAGTGAACAAAAAATTGTTAGAATTAATTTTCTTCATAAAACGAACGGATACAATATAATATTAAATTATTCTTTATGAACTTTTGAAAAATTAAAAATCAAATTTTTTTCCTCTAATTCAATTGGTCCCGTTTCAATATTTCCTATTGCCATGCAAATACTTAAAAACATGTATTGTAATTAGAGAGCAAAATAGTTTGAAACTTTATTGAATTTGAACAAATATATCATTTGTATCTAAAATTTCTTCATCATTATATTCAAGTAGAGTATGACAATCATTTCTATGAAACATTGATATTGGATATTTTGAGATTTTTATGTAATCTAAATTGATCTTAAATTTATTGTTAAATAGTCGAATAAATCATACGACTATTAAGTATAATTAATTAGTGTCATTTATTTCATTTATTATTATTATTTCTTTTTTTTTTTTTTTATGTGTGAACTTTATACCTATTTTGTAATTAATTTCTCCATAATTTATAATTTCAGAGCCTATTACTCTTGAAAATTTTACATTATTATTTTCTTTTCATTATAAATAAACCGATGTCACATTAAAAAGCCGTATAATAATTTTATATTTAATCAACTTGTACTTCAATTTTCACTTGCACATAATTAATCTATCATATATTTAACCATTAGTGTTTATGTAAAAGATAATTTTCCGCATTATCATTTATCTGATCCACGATTCATACAAATTATTTAATAAAATTATCAGTTCATTGAATTAATTTATAACATTATTGAAAAATAGACATTAATTTAGATATTATTTGATTAAATTAATTTCAACGTAAATATTTCGTCAGTTTTAATCGCATTTACACTCTCTATCTATCCTTTAGTATTATAAATAATGTTAATTATACAAATTATTATTAATTATTTCAATGACATAATTCCTAAAAGTATATTTGGATAATGTTTGAAATCACATAAATTTTTAAGCTAAATTTCATGTAAATTTAAAAGTAATAATTTATAATTTTTCATTTGAACGAACGATAATAACGATAAAGATGAATAATAAAAGATTTTCAAGGAGGCGATGGAGAAAAATTTTATCAAAGCATACAACTTAAAATATGAAAGAAGAAAGTAGGAAAACCGACTTTGTATAAAATTCGCAAATATTACATAAAATGATTGCAATAATAATAATAATAATAATAATAATAATAATGTGATTAAATTATTCTCTTCCAAGAATTGTTAGCCGAATCACCATGTTTTTCCAAATAAACTTGAATATATACAATTAAGTAAGGTTAGTCGTATTTAATTTGTAAACGTTTCGAGTGTTAGTATTAGGACGGAAATTGTAAAAGATATTAGAAAAACAATTAAACAAATTATACGATATTTGTTTTTAAACGGTGTGTTACGAACAACGTAATATAAAATTAATGATACGATGTTTAAAAATAATAATATTCCTTATGTAAAGATTCTTGAACAACCTTTGAGTAGAGGAGCAAGATTTCGGTATGAATGCGAAGGAAGATATTCTGGAAGTATTTTAGGCGTTAACAGTACTACGACTAAAAGAAGCTATCCGTCCATTGAAGTAATTTTACTACTCTCATTATTTTATAATCAGAATTTTATTTTGTCAGGCGCTTTATTTTACAATATAAATGTATGAGGTATTTGATATTTATCGATGTGATGTAGGAATTATTTGAAATTAAATTAAATTTAAATTTGTAATTGTAATAAGAACGTTAAAATAATGAAAAGTGAGAAGTTTAATTATCGTGAATTTATTGCATGGATTCTAGCATTACGAAATCTCGATTTTCGTTTATTTGAAGCAAATAGCACATTTTAACAACGACAACGACAACGACAACGACAACGACAACGACAACGACAATAGCAAATAATAAATTAATATTAATTTTTAATTTCTTAACAAAATTTTTTTTTTATTTTGTTTCTTTCATTTTTGGTTTGTTTTTCTAGATTGTGAATTATAAAGGCGTTGCATTTGTTGTTGTTTCTTGTGTAACGAAAGACTCGCCTTATCGTCCTCATCCACATAATCTTGTGGGTAAAATGAAAGAACTGTCTGAAGGAATATGCTACTTCAAAACTGTTCCAAATCAATCAGTCGTTGTTTTTCCGCATCTTGGCATACAATGCATTAAAAAAAAAGACATTGATCGATCACTGACAGAAAGAGAACGACTGCAAGTGGATCCATTCAAAAGTGAAATATTTAATAAACTCGATCGCTAATTGCCATATCATACCAAATTACAATTAATTTACTTAGTATTATCTAAATTTTAGCTGGATTTAGCCATAAGCTACAGCCAGAGAATATTGATTTAAATTGTATTAGACTATGTTTTCAAGTTTTTTTGGAAGGACAAGAGAGCGGAAACTTCAATATCCCTTTGGATCCTGTTGTTTCTAATCCAATTTACGACAAAAGTAAAATAAAGTACCATAGTTATAGAATAAAATAAAAATTTTACATTCTTTCATAAACATGGCTTAAACAATTGTCAATTGCAGAAGGCACAGCTGAGTTAACGATATGTTGGCTTAGTCATGCTTCCGCATCGGTAGTTGGTGGTAAAGTTATGTGTATATTATGTGAAAAAATAGCAAAGGATGACGTGCAAGTGAGATTTTTTCACGAAGAAAATAGATGGGAAGTAATTGCAGAATCAGTATATCCTCATTATCATAAGCAAGTTAGTTAATCTTTTCTTCTATCTTTTGTAATATTTAAGCAAAGTCGATAATGTATTGTTGAAATTTTACGAATTAGCGCCTTTTATCTACTCATATCACAGTCTGCCCATTACTTCATTAACAAACTTTAATAATGAAATTATCAATTCAATATTTATTAAAACATTTAGCAAAACATGCCTGGACAATTCATCACAAGGTTTTTAAAAGTTACTTTAAATAAAGTAAAAAATAATGTTTCATTTTTATCACTAATTAGATATATTTTTAATTGAAATATTATTAATGCTAAGATATGATTATTATAAATTAAACAGAGTTTTATATAAATATCGAAGTATTTATTTAAATACTACTTTCTCTACGTTATCTTTTTAAGCAATCGATGATTAAAACATTTTCAAAATAGCCAACTCCAAATAGTAAAATTCCTTTAATATAATAATTATATCCGAGACAATAAGAAATTGTCGCTCGTTAAAAGTTCTTAGTCAATAATTAAATTTCATTTCAATAATATACTGAATAATATTGCAGGTGGCCATTATATTTAAAAGTCCGAAATATATTGAACAAGACATTGGCGAACCAATATCGGTACAAATTCAGTTAAAACGGTTCTCCGATGGAGAAACAAGCAAGCCAGTACCATTTCAATTTTTACCTGTAGAAGTTGGTAAGAAAACGATGTATATACGATGCGCTTATAGGTGTGAATTTTTTTTATGAGAACATTTTTATCTCTTAGTTTTAATATTGCCTTATTTATTTATTTACCGAATACTACAAAATTTATGTTCAATCAATGGATATTTGTTTAATCGAACGTATAATTAATTTAATTACAAAAATTAATAATAATTGACTTATCGGTGCTTTTCTCTATTTTCTTTACAAAACTTGCTTCCGACTCTGTTTTGTTATTATTGTATACCCTGGCATATTCATTGTACAGATTTATTATTCAAAATTCTTTATATTCGTTGATGCATATTTAAAGAAATAAATAATAATCCACGTTTTTATGATTTTATTATGATTATTTTTCGTTTAAATAATCGCTTCAAGGTGCTCTAACGTAGTTTATAATTTTTGTAGTTTTTTTTTTGTTTTGTTTTTGTTTTTTTTTGTTTTTTTTAAACATTTCGCATTTATTTTTAAGATCATACTTATCTCTTTTAATTTTGGATACTTTGAATTTTATGAATTACAATTTCATATAGTTGCCATCATCGTCATCATCGTCATCGTCATCATCATCATTATTATTATTATTATTATTAATCACCTAAATAATCAATATCGTCATAATGCAGTATTTGGTCGATACAATGTAAATTTATGTAGAAAAAATTTTTCATTATTTAACGAACCTCATTTTTATGATTTTTATATTTATATATTTATTTTGATGATTTAAATTTTAACAAATTACGATTTCTACATTTAATATTTATGCTCATCATAACTCCCAGATAAATTATAGTTAATTATCATTAATAAGTATTAAAATTTTAGACGATCAAGATATGTTAAGAAAGAAGCGGCGGAAATTTAATGAGGCACCAAGAAATTTAGTTTACAGACATTTACAAGCAGAAGCTGCAAAAAGTAAGATATAAAAATTTAATTGTTTGTATTGAAAATTTGTTTAATTCAATTTTATTAATACGATGTGCAATATTTATTGAGATGCGGCATCACTTAAATTAGCTGAAACAAAAAATTATGAAAACGTGAGTAGTAAACCTACAATGCCAGGATATTCTTTATCAACGCCATTGCTTTATCCGTCGACGACCAACAATTTAGACATTTTTCGGTAATATGCAGAGAAATAATAACGTTTTATATGTGAATATATTATTATACGTATAAATAACTCATACGAGTATGTGATATACAATAATTATCGATGCATTTTATTATATTTATATATTTATAGTGAGAATAATGCGGTTATCGATAATTTATCGGATAATCGACAGTCTTATTATATAAATCAACAAATAAATCAAATTGAAGCACACAAAAGTGACTATCCAATTGGAAATTCAGCTAAAGAAGAAACTTCAAATTTATATAATAATATGACAACCGTAAGGCAAAAAATAAATCCTATAAATGATTATGATTTTGGTAAGCCAAGATATTTTTACTTTCTTTTGCTCTTGCGCGAACAATTATTTATTTATAAATATACACGCTTTATAATTAATAACTTATTTCAATAATTAATCATATTTTCTATTTCATGTGCAGAATTTCAGTCTCTCAATCAAATTATTAACGAACCCCAGCTACAAAATAATACAAATTATGTAAATGAATTTTTAACAACTATGAATGGTGAAAAATTATCAAATGACTTTTCTACCTTAAAAGATTTATAAGTGCTAACACTTGAATTTTATGCAATCACTGCTTTAAAAATTTATGCTCATTATGTTGTTTTACTTATTTTTTTTTTTTAAGAGAATATTTCGTATTATCAATGTGTAATATTACCTGAGATGCATCTCTTAAATACATTATTATTTATAAAGGATTTTTATACATTATTATAAATAAATTGTCCGACATATATTTATTGTATTGATTAACTCACGTTTTGATTCAATACGTTTTTATTATATTTACATCGACACTTTAAGTTGCAATAGAATAGAAGTGATAATAAAAATTTTTTTTTTTATTTTTTTTTTTTTTTTGTTTGTTTACGACATTTTAGACTTTTTATACAATTGTAATATTAATTTTTTTAAGAAATAAGTTCGTACTTAAAAATTATAAGAGTAAATATTATTTATAATTACAATTTGCATGAATATGTGTCTAAGGCGTAATAATACATATGCATATGAAAGCAATTAAACGCACGCGGATTTAAGACTGACACGAATTCGTTCTTTTTTTTAATTTAAAATTTATTTGTATAAATGATCGAATCAGCAAAGAACAAATTTCAATGAAATTAATTACAACTGAGAGGCAGGTAATGCAAAAGGTAAGGTTAGAATTTGTTGTTTGCGTATTTACATTACGATTACGTCGTTAGCACAGTTGATTCATAATTATCGATGGCTATAGATCATTTATGGTTATTTTTCCTTCTCATTCATTTTAACTTGGCTACCTTTTCTCATATTTATCTAATATGAATAATATAAAATTTTGCTTATCTTTTTATTTTCTGGTATAGTTAGTTTGCTTTCAATATTGATTATTATATATATATATATTTTTTTTTTTTATATTTTTATTCAATAATTTTTGGTCGTGTTGTAGAAAGTAATTTTTCAATTTAGTAGGATCCAATGAATATCAATCGATAAATTCATATTCATCTGGTTTAAATTTTTTGTTTACATTTTTTTTTTTTTTTTTTTTTTTTTTTGTAATTCTTTTAACATTGTCGAATAATCTTACTTTTTAAATAATTTAATGTAGTTTGAACTTTGCCTTAACACTCGTATTATCTTCTTTCTCTTAGAATCGGTATGTAGGTATTAGAATCGAGTCGAATGAGATTAATATGCGTTTGCTTTAAGATAATTAGAATGTATTTGTTTGAATATCTTTTTTTTTTTTCTATTTTTCTTTTAATTAAATTGAGATTACTCTCGTGGCATATACAAAATTGTATAGTTCAACATCATTATCAATGATTGACAAGTAACGATTTCATGACGACGGTCGTGATGTATTTTACTATTTAATTTTACATGCATATTGTTAAAAATGTTATTTTAAGTTGAAGTATCGAAACATTGCATACATCAGTTTTATGTAATAGTGTTTATTAGTTATTAAAGGAAATTATGTAATTCATTCCTATTTAAAGGTCATTAGGCTATTGTGAAGTAAGAACTTACGAAATCGTAATAAAAACCAATTAAATAATCTTTGAGAATCGATAAGATGAAAAAGTTTATTATTAAAATAATTATTTATAATGAATGTAAACTTTGTTTTATTCTAGTTTCATTACAATAATGCATTTCATAAAATAAAAACTTTAAATTCTTTGTTTTACTATATATTATTGATTATCAAATAGCTTACATATAACATAGAAAAAGGGTATTTCGAAACAAAGTATTTTGTACTTCTTAGTCGACGAAATATAAGACAAATTAAACTTTTTTCATAAGTTTTCGCTTGGCTATCGAAGTTAATATTGGGAATTGGTAGTTACATCAAAGCATTTAATTTATAACATAATTATATAATTAAATAATTCAACATAGGAATTCGATAATACACATGAGTGTATCGCTATTTGTGTTGCCTCTAATTTAGTTATGGTTGTTTTCAATAAAAATGTCATGATTATTTTTCACTGTCAAATAATACGTTAAAGTCTGGCATATGTTTTGACTGTGCTTTCGTCTTAATTATTAAAATTCTATTAAAACCACTGGATTGGAGATAAAAATAGTTTATTAGAGAATATGGAGTGTAATGAAAAATTATAGTCTAATAATTGCAATGATTGTAAATATTTTTTGTTTTTAATACAGTTACTGATGTAGAGTAATACGAAAGAAAAATTAATACAAGAGTTACATAAATTCGACGCTATATGTTAGATGAACAAAAAAGTCTTTAATTTTATGTTTAATAATTACTGAGATTAGTAATAGACGTAGCAGAGAAAATAATCGTTAAGAATTAGGGATTAAATTCATTGAAATTAAAATCAAAAGTTACAGCAAAATTATTGTCAGGAATATTGAATAAGAAAAAAAAGAAGAAGCCCTGATACGCTCAGATCTAACGAAGAGAATAAATTTACTAATAATTTTCTAGAAATTTTAGATAATTATAAAACTTATTGAAACAATGCAGATATAAATAAAATATTTTATATTTATTAAGTATATTGGAATTAGAAATACATTCATATAATAGAACTGCAAGCAATATAAAAAATAAAATTGTTGTAAAAAATTTTAATCAAATATAAATTATCAATTCGAATCAGCACACATTCCGATATGTGGAATGTATGAAAGTTTATAACTCAAATCATAAATTGCTGGTATATAATAAATACAAAGACTTTAACATAAATTAAACAAAGAAATAAAAGAAAAAAAAAATTCTAATCCAATGATTTCACATGATACATAGTAATATTAGTAATGAAAAGCTTTAAAAGTACATATATATATATATATATATATATATATATATATATATATATATATATTTAAATATTTAAATATGTAAATATTAAATGTGCATTCAATAATTGCAATAATAAATATGTATATAAATTAGATATAAAAAAAAAAAAAATAATAAATTTTAAAAGCTTAGTAGATATAAGACTATAAATTAATGAGTACTTTATAGTTTATGGCTCTTTAGTTTACAAATATGTTCGACAATATAGAATTAAAAATTTATGTAACAAGCATTGAAAGTTGATTTAAAGATTGATTGGTATAAATTATGTTTTCCTATGGTGGTAAGGAGAATGGGAGAATAAAATCTGTTGTACCCGATGTATGTAATATATTACTTTCATTTAATTATAAATATCAATTAAACTAAATTATAAAGTATTAGTATAAGTGACATGTGCTGAAAAGGTTTTATTAATTGAATTTCAAATAGAATAAATCTCAGAATATACTGGGGCTTACCAAAGTTAACGATTGATATAAATAATAATGGAAAATTGAAAATAAATTAAATAGAATAGAATAAGCATGAGATAGCAATAAATTTCATGCAAAAAGCCATTTTTAGCACAAAAAAATTAAAAACAAAAAATTTTAGCACAGACGATGATGATTGCTACTTACCCTGATATAAATTTTTTAAAAATTTTTTAATTAAGAAACAAAAAGAATGTTCAAATAATAGTAAAATCATTTTTATTTAATAACTCAAATAAACATACTGATTAATCAATAAACAATAACGATCAATAATTAGCGATAAATATTGTTAATAATATCGCATTTATTATTCGTATTTATTGATTATTTTATAATAAATTACAATTATTATTTAAAAAAAAAAGAAAAAGAAAAAAAAAAAGAAAGATAAAAGACACGCCACTGTATAATATCATAAAAAAGAAAGGGTTTTAAATAAACAATTTGAAATATTTGATGATTGGTTTAAAAGAAATTTAAATTGGTATGGCTGAAAAACTGAAAAACTGAAAAACATGAAAAATTATGAAAAATTATGAAAAATTATGAAAAATTATGAAAAATTTACAGCTGTATGATGAGTTATTGACAAAATACATTAATAAGGTATAAAAGAAAAATAGAAATATCATTGCCACGTGCTTACAGTATAATTTTTCTCATACGATCATGGTGACAAAAATATTATCTGTATAAATTGTTGTGATTCTTAATGCCGTTGATTAATTGCCACACTCATGCACTCGATTATACATCTTATAATCAGTCCCAGCAATTTCAATTTGCTCACTACATGCAACTATCTCGTTATGCGTAATCTCGTTGATCTCCGATAGCTCTTTCTCTTCTTCTTCTTCTTCTTCTTCTTCTTCTTTCTTCTTCTTTTATTCTTTTCTTCCGCTAATGTTGCCGTTTAAATTTACTCGAATCTTTTAACATAATAATGATTTGCCAAGTTTTATGATATTTGTGCTGCATAAAATGCTACGTGTATCGAAGACGATGACGTCTCGTACAGATAAATACAGTGAGTGGGCCAGCCCCAAGTACGTTATATAATAAGTTAAATTCCAATGTCGCATTACTTTCAAATATGCTTTGTCTTCACTATATTCATTTAAATTATGTATCCCACTTACCTGCTCACCTATCGTACGCAAGTACCAACAAACCGAATAACAATTACACCCGCAAATATATTAATAAATATGCAAAACGACAATACGACGATACGAGTCAAGCGATGCATTTACAATTACATTTTATCAATTGTCATTTATTTCATAAAGGCTTTTCAGATAAATATTAATTGAAGACGAGTATTGTGTATAATAGACGATGGCGAAAAATTTACCCGAATCACTTCGACAGTCTTTTAACAGCGAACCTTAAAGTTATTTAAAAATTCTATGGCACTATTAATTTGAAATAGGTTTAAACTTATGTATATATGGGCTCAATATAATTTGCCATCATTGCTTTCGTGCCTGAAATATTATCTGAAATATTATGAGGTGCGCGTTGGATAAGTAAACTCTTAAAAGCGAATGTAATTTATCCTTATATATAGTTAAACTTTAAACCGCTGCTCGAAAATTTCGTCCGTCCACGTTTTTACATCGATTCTATAGTAATAGACTATAGGCTCATAATATTAAAGCGACATAACCTATTGTTACCCCATACCAATATAATATACAAACTGTTTAACAAGTTTTCAAAAATATAAAGCATTCGCTACGAGTGAATGTAATGTAATATTTCATTCCAAGATCGGCAGTTATCCCATTAATATATTTATTCAATTATTAATAAAACTTTAAAAGGTTTATCGTTGGTCGTATAGCGAGCCGAGGAGCGAGGTATGTGTGATTTCATTGCCAATCCATTTTGAGAAAGTTTGTTTTACGGTATAATGTTGTAGATTAGAAAGATTAGAGTTTTGTCAACGTTATACAGAGGCGTGGACAGTGCGTTGCTTTTATGTTGTGTTACGTTTTTAATTTGAATGGGCGAAAAAAAAATTTAGAAAATTGGAGAGAATTGGTAAATGATTGGATAATTGGCACGGTGAATATGTTATGATAATCATAGTTTAGGTCATTAAAATAACTACAATTGGAATATAAATTAATTATAGGAAATAAATTATTGTTCACTATTCACTGTTTTAAAACAATTGTGAGGATTATTATTTATCTACTTATTATGATAGTTAATCGTGGGCATTGTAATTTTCGTATGACATTTATTGTTTATTAGAGAAATATCGAAAAGCCATGGCACTTGTACATAAATTACGTGGGATTTATAAATCCGTCCTTTTGTCTTCTGTTTCTCAATCGTGGTCAAAGGATATTCAAAAAGTAAAGCCAAATTTATTTGTAAGGAACACGTCGACGTCCAAGCCCTCTTATGAAAAGAAAGAGTAAGTATGACATTTCTTTTGGTAGCTTTTCGACATAACTTATCGTTCTTTCTTCTTTCTGTCTGACAGAGTTAACGTAACATTTATTAGAGCAAACGGGGAAAAGTTACTGGCAAAAGGAAAAGAGGGCGATAGCTTATTAGATATTATTGTAAATAATGAACTAGATATCGATGGATATGGTAAGTTAACGTATTTATTTATTACTATATATATATATATATATATTTTTTTTTTTTGTGTAAAAAATTAGATTTAGAATCGAAAAATTTTTAGGAGCATGCGAAGGAACGTTAACGTGCAGCACTTGTCATTTAATACTTACGAAAGAAGATTATGACAGATTACCTGAGAAACCGACGGACGAAGAATTAGACATGCTCGATCTTGCTTTCGATTTGACCGATACGTAAGTATTTTAAAAGTAATTTATTCCTTTTTGGAAGATGAGAAAATCGACTTTTTCCATCATTGTGTCGCTATTCAATAATAATAGGTCTCGCGTCGAGTGACAAGAGGCTAATTATAAAACGAATGGTTAATCGTAATGAATGTCATGTAATAATTATAAACTTACAGGTCAAGATTGGGATGTCAAATAATAATGACGAAAGAGTTGGACGGTCTTCAGGTTAAAATACCTTCTACAATATACGATGCAAGATCTTAACGAAAGTACATTATTTTACTTAATATATTGAATTTAAATGAGAGATTTGATATTTAAGTAAAAGAAACAAAGACTTTTTATGGAACTTTTCTATACAGTTCTATAAAGAATTGTGCAAATATGAAATTAATAGAAGCGATGTATAAGCGATGAGAAGGATTGTATAATTAGTAAGCTCAACGAATGATTATATTTTATAGAAAGAAGATTTCTGTACATAATTATTTACAGATGGATATGTATTGCGTATATTACTACATGCGATACATGTAGATTTTAATTGAAATTGAAAATTGAAATTATAAGCTTTTTAAAATCAATTTAATAAATTGCGGTATTGTTTTGTAACATATTTTTGTTACTGCTTTTAACAGTTGTTTATAATATCGATAATATATATATATATATATATATATATATATATATATATATATATATATATATTAAAGCAATAGATATTAATGGTGATTAATTTGTTGACAATCATAATACCATTATTGTAAGGTTCAATATTTATAACGTACACGTGTTTATAATCAAATAATTTATTTTTTATTCATCTGGTTTTTGAGTATACACAATGCATCAATACTCTATAATATAATATTTATTAGTACATAAAGCTAAAACACTTTTGTACTTGGTGAATTATGTGGGGGCCCAATAATTTATTTTGTCATTAAAATTTTTTTTATATAAACTATGAAAATTATTTGTTTTAACTACACTACTTACATGATGAGGCAACCATATATACTATACTATTATGTAATTTACATATTTTCATTTTGTTATTTTATCCGATTTTCACGAGTCAACATTTGTATTAAAAAAATAGACTGTTAATTGTGTGCAACGTAAGCAATCTAGTAAGCTCACTTAGCACACATTCTCAAATTAATGTCGACTTAATTAATTTGCTCTTGAACGTTTTTATAAAATGTTCGTAAAATTTCATAACATTTGCCTTTACTGTTTCAATATAATCTTAATTATAAATTTTTATACAAATGATAAAATAGATTGATTTTCGACACGCTCAATTACGCAAATATTGGTTTTGTACATAATTGTAAAATTTCGACCTCGTCGAGTTCGTTAAATTTCTATATTCTTTATTTGATAACATTAAATTTAATGTAACAAGCGTTTTATCAATAACAAAACATACGTGAAAGCACTTGTTACTCGATAAAGAGAGAAAGAAAGAAAGAAAGAAAGAAAAGAAGAAAATTTACATACACGATAGGGCAAGAAATCGTTATGATAGTCGATGGAGTTTCGTATAATCAACAGTCATTAATAAAGGAAAAGTGGCAGTATTCTCAGAGGTATAGAGTTTCGCATATTTCAGATCAGTCTTTAAATGGCTTGTATGGTAGCAGCTTATATACTTTCATAATTTATCTCATTGTTATTGACGTCTCGTGGCCGAGAGAAGTGGCATCGTGCTCACTTTAAATGTGTACAAGGGAGTGGGTGATGGGATGGCGCCGGGGGATGGGAGGTGGGGCGGAAGGGGGTGTCGGATCGAGCTTACAGTACGAAATAAAAAGGTACATACATATAAATAACAATCTGAAACGAAGTAATAATAATAATAATAATAATAATAATAATAATAATAATAATAATAATAATAATATCTGGAGACGGGAGTGGCGGTCAGGTCAGGCTCGTCCCCGAGAAATTGCGCGGTCGGTGGGGATGTGGGAAAGGTGTGAAAAAGGTGCGTAGAAGACGAGGGCGACAGCGGTTCGCTCATACAAGGGTCGACAACTCGTGCGGGCTGTTGGTGTTAGCCGCGCTGCTGAGGTCGAGGGTCGCCGGGGGCAAACCGGGACTTACGCTGCCGGCAGCCTCGCGCATTACCAACTGCTGCGACCGATTGTGCTTGTTGGCGGGGCTCGTCGGCGAGCGATCACCGGGTGTCGCGGGCGGCGAGGCCGGCCCAAGAATCAATTGCTGCTGACCGCGCAGCGACAAGTTGCCCGGTGACGAGAGCTGGCGCAGCTGGTGCTGCTGAGCGAGGCGGGGGTGTAATACTTGCTCGTGGCTCGCGAGTCGACTAGCTGTCCCGTATGATCCGCTGACCAGGGCGAGGGAGCGTTGATTGTGATGCTGGTGTTGGTTATGAAGCGGCTGTTGCAGTTGCTGATGTTGCTGCTGTTGCTGCTGCTGCTGCTGCTGCTGCTGTTGTTGTTGTTGCTGCTGGTGTTGATGAGCGTGGGAGTGCTGCGACTGTTGAGACGGTTGCTGTTGTTGTTGGCCCTGGAGTGTCTGCTGGCGTTGCAATTGCGCCGCGGCCTCGTACTGCTCGCGTCGGATGGCCTTCATTGCATTCGTCTTCTCCTGGGTAAACGAGTGCGCTTATTAGTGCTGTGTTAGTTGCATCAATAATTATGATAAAAATGTGCATTATTTGAGAGACATTTTTTATCTAGTCGTGCCTACGTGAACGCCCACGTTGCTAACGACAATCTAAACGTATTACAAAATTAAAAAAAAATATATATATATATCATTTTAATTTATATTAAATACGTGTAGTTGTACAAAGATAAATAGATAGATAGATAGATAGATAGAGAGAGAGAGAGAGAGAGAGAGAGTCATCAACGACGCATAAACGTATTGTTTACTTTTTTTTACACGTGTGTATCTTTAAGATATGTGTATAGTGGTTTAAGAAATATATTTATGATACTACGTATTACCGATATAGACGTTCCAGTAAAACAATTAGGGTATTTTTCTTTTTTGTCTAATGTCAACATCATCAAAGGCCTCCACCGATATTCTCATAAATACAAATACGTAATTCATAAATCTTTTTTGATAAATTTACCGATACGCATTATTACTTTCACTACATTGTCTCGGCAATTTTTGATCGAATTTTTTCATCGCTTATTAACATTGTTGTAACTATTTCGAAATATTTTATCATTATGTTGACGTACGAGGAGGAGCGAAAAGGAGGTGAGTTACGTGAAGCGAGGTCAAGATTTTCTGTACTTAAAGGCTTGTGCATACAAGACACAAGTGCGCGCGCGGGCATCGCTCAATCGGAACGCTCCCAAAATGTCGCGTATTTTCTCAACACTTTTGGGCCCCTCTTTAATCCCCTCACCTCCCGACCTCCTCGTCAATTTGGCTGTGGACGTCCGGGCCACCGAGTCTTCTCCGATTACACGCGGCCAGAGTCTTGACAGCGGAAGAAAACCAGTTCCCCGCCACACGGCCTCGCGAGACCTCAGTAGCTAGCCCATGTAAAAAGCGAATAGCGCAACACATAAACAGCGAGACGGCTACGTGTGAGCGCACGCGCTCGAAACTATATCAGTAGCGCCGAGTCGCCAGCTCGCGCTCGCTGATTATACTAATCGTTCGGTGCGACCCACTTTTCATCTCGAGAGCCTCCAAGGCTACGCTACGCACGTCCGCGTTATCGCGAGCACCTACGAACTCACCTTTTGCCACACGAAAACAGTGTGGACGAGGGCACAGCCGCAGAAAACGATTCCGAGGCCGATGAAGACCGAGGTGATGATCGCCGGCGTTGACTGGAACTGAATGAACGTGTAGAGGATCATACCTGCGGATATCGAGATACATTAGTTAGAGAGCTCTGTGATTATTATGGGAGGAGTTGAGGGGAGGGGGGAGCGGGACTGTTTCAATCAAACATATCGTCAGCTTAGCGGTTAAGTAATCGCGGAATCTCTCCGCGACGTATACACGGTGATGGGAGTAAGAAAATTAAAAAAAAAAATGAAGAGAAAAGATGAAGAATAATAATGAGCCGAAGGAGCGCACGAAGACAAGGAGTAGGAGTAGGAGGAGGAGGAGGAGGAGGAGGAAGTTGAAGAAAAAAGCATAAACCTCTGGATTCTGTAAAATGATTCAGACTCTATCGCGCAACGGACTTGAAAGGCATTCCACCGGCAGTGCCCTAATAGCTACGCTACAGCTCCACTAATAATCGCGCGAGTGAGCTGCAGGTTACATTAATTAAAGAAATGAGAAAGATGAAATCAAGAGAAAAGAAAAGGTAAAAGTAAGAAGAAGAGGAAGAATGAGAAATAGAAGAAGAAGAAGAAGAAGAAGAAGAAGAAGAACAACAACAACAACAACAACAAGAACAAGAACAAGATGATGATGATGATGATGATGATGATGATGATGATGATGATGATGATGATGATAATGAAGAAAGAGGAGCAACAACAACAGTGAGTTTGTATGCGGGTATACGCGTGTTTCGATGTTGCGGCTCCTTCGCAACGCGTCCTTTCTTTCAACATGTTTTTCAACAGAATCATTCCCGAAAAACGGCTCCTCGTCGCAAAGTGCAGCCCACGAAGACGGCGATGCTGATGATGCGCGACGCCCGCGCGTGCTCCCTTAAATTTTCACATTATAACCGAAGAGCGTACGACTGACTATTCTCACCAGCGGTTTCTAACGTCGTGAAAAAGTACGGGAGGGGTGGGGGGAGGAGGACTGGAGGGTAAAAACGTTAAATGAGACTCGTTTACCAGTTAAAAAGACTGGAATGCTTATGAAAAAACCACCGACCGCGCAGACTCGGCTGATCGACGATTTCTGCAGGTACTTGTTTGTCCTGAAACACAAAAACGGATTATACAACATACGTATGCGTGGAGAGTTTTATTAATACATGAACAAAGATTTTTGAAGAATTAGTGAAAAATCGTGGGACTTTGATGTGGCCCTAATGCAAAAGTGAGAGGCGAATAGGTAAGGGGATTCGGGAAGGATGTAAAGTAGGCATCAATTAAGGCACACGAGTGGGCAAAGAGAGTGAGATGGCGAGGGTGAGGTGGAGAGAGGCGCGAGTGGTCATAAAAGGTCTTTGACCCGCGAAAGGGCTCGTAGCAATGGCACCGTGGGACTTTCTAACAGAGTTCCTCTTCGTCCTTCCCCTCCGATCCCTTCCGTCCTCACCCCCTCCCGCCACAGTCTAATCCCTTCCACCATCCCCCGTCCCACATCTCTCTCTCTCTCTCTCTCTCTCTCTCTCTCTATCTCTCCACTCGTGCTCCAGATGAGAGTGCGAGCGAAGCAAGCAAAACACAAGCGGCGAGACAAGTCGCCGTGTCTCCTGCAAGTTTTTGTGACGCGCGTCACCTCGACCCGACCTGGCCCCCACGAGGCCGATCCATCTGTCACTTTTTACCTACGTAACCTCCCCCCCCCCTCCCCAATTTACGCGCCCGTTGTGCTTACTTTCATTTCATGCACGCTCTTCACACCCGGGCAGCGATATCGCGTCCCTCGGGCTTCGGCTTTTCGATTTATCCATAAACGATTATTCGCTCACGTGTCAAAATGTCAAAATGTCGGCGGTTATTGTTTGCGATAGGATCGGCGCTCGGAGAGCTGCTTGAGCTTGCGAGCGAACGCGCAAGTAGTACATGAATTTACAAGAAGAACGCATATTTAATATTTCGAATTATTTATCGACGAGACGAGAAAGTTCGATATACACATACTAGCGTGATTTGATACGTCGTTAACAAGAACAATTTTCATAATGTGCATTTTATTCTCACATTGCTCGCTAAAGTCTTATTTACGACACACGCCGTTGTAAATTAACAGATTAATCAAGCTGCAATGACCGCGTACCGTTTTATTTTTCTCACAATAGGCACACTGGAATTCAATCTAAATAGTCCATAAAAAAAAAAAAAGTATTTTCGATACTCGTGCCATGAAATGTCCACAAGCAAACAGGTTTCCAGCAGAATGCTCGAGAAGCATTATTATTTGTTAACTCGGTAACGTCGTAAGCGATTGTAATTTTCCTTGGCCGATTGATTTTCGAGATTATTAAAACACGTGTACAAGATTTTGTCGGGGGAATATAAATTATCGACATTAAGTAAGGATAAGGATAGGAAAGTCGGCCTTTATCCCAATACTCTTAACGGATCGTGGTATTCCTTTATTTCTTTATTAGCTCCAACAACAAATTTATCGTTCTCGCATGCACTTAAACCGTTACTTTTTATACTTTCTAGCATCGAATGCCGCATTCGCATATTGAAGAACCCCCGCCCCCTCCGCCGCCAATCCCTCCCACACCCAACCACCCAGCCCCGACACTCAATTGTTATTTGACGCTTTCGTTCGATTCCTGGAAAGCACATTTAACATTAACGCCTCCCAATAAAAATTATTGCTATTACGAATTAACGAAGGGCTCTTTCGTAATCCATTTATGGATATTTTCATATAACGCCGTTCTCGTTACGCTCAATACATACATCCAAGAGGCGATTTAACGAGAATGCCGGCTTCCTCATTCTCTTGCTGTTAAGAATGTCGAATTGAAGATCAAATTTCCATGAGTAATTCGTTAATCGTTAAACAAACGTGTCCCCGTGTTAAGAATTGGCCTCGTCAACGAGCGAAGGAGATGTGCATTATGCTTATAGTCTCGGAGCTGCGTCGCAACTCCTTCTCAATTTCGCTCCGTTTAGTAAGAGAGATGTAAATATTCCATATAACCGAGAGCTCAATTGTACTCGTATGAAAGCGACCCCATAGTCTCGGCATGGCGCCGTCGACAACGAGCTTTACATCCACCCGAACGGCCAAGTGCGACGACAATAAGACGCAGCGACTCTCCTTTTTCCTCTCCCCAAGTCTTCCCAACCCCCAATCGCCCACTCCTAACGTCCTCCACGCGTCAATCTTTAATAAACGCGTGAATCAGGCCTAAATGTACTTTCATTGTTTGACGTTATGTATTACATCCGACTGATTTATTTACGCAATACTTTGATCCAATGGGAGAATTGGGATCGTACGATGGCGCGTAATGGCAACGGAATATTTTGTAATTGAAATTCATTCGTTCCACTTAAGCGCGCGAGAGCCTCGAGTACGCGCACGACGAAACGTGATGGGAGTTTAAAAGAATTTGCAGTCACGACGGCTTCATTATTATCTTACCGATTGCACGGTGTGGGGTTGGGATTGGGATTGCGGAGGGGGAGGAGGATGAGATTTGGGGGGGGGGGAGAGGATGGTGGATCGAGCTGTCCTCGAGAGAAGCCAGCGTCCGAAAGGAGGCGAATGAACAGGAATGGAATGGACCGGGGGAAGAAAGAAAGCGAGCAAAGAAAGAATGATGGAAGGAAGTACGGAAGGAAGTAAGGAAGGAAGGAAGGAAAAAAGGAAGGAATGAAGGAAGGAAGGAAGAATGGAAGAAAACACGTGTACGCGCATTCGAGGCCAAGATTAAAGAATCACTGGACCCAGTGACATTTGCATTCCCATTTATCTTATTATGTCGGTGGAAGGGGGTGTCGTGCTAGAAGCATTGGCCGGGACACCCGGGGAGCGTCTGGTCTGGGAGTCAGAGGTGTCTGGAGATTTGAAGCGATTCGAAACCGACCGAGAAGGCCGAATTCCCGGCGTGAAATACCTTGGGCCTCATCCGCCAAAGGCACTTTTCTAACGAGAGAAATTGTCTGCCTACGCGGCTGACCCACATCGAGTCCCCGCAACCTCCAAGCGCATCGCTTCCTTATCGCGTGGCTGCGTCGTCGGGGCGAATTTTACGGGATCGCCGTATGCGCGCGGACCCGCTCGACCGCTATATTTGTGTCTCCTTGTAGCAGACGCCGTGTCGCGTAAGTACGTAGCCGGACATTGACCGAGGCGCTTTTAATACGCGCGCGAGAGAGAGAGAGAGAGAGAGAGAGAGAGAGAGAGAGAGAGAGAGAGAGTGAGAGAACCGCATGGGTTACCGACAATGCGCGAAATAACCGAATTCAGAAAGAAATGTCGTCCCACCGCGACACGCGCCATCTTCGTTATCGATCGCTTCTCCTCACTTTATTCCTTCAGCTCATCGCCCCGCTGCTATCCGCAATTTAACTCGCGAATCTCAAATATCGTCTTGAGCTTTTCGTCATTTATGTTTAATAGCGCATTATACGTTAATATCAATAATAAAACAACGGTAATAGTATTGGAAATAGTAATAATAGTAATAATAGTAATAATAATAATAATAATAATAATAATAATAATAATAATAATAATAACAACAACAACAACAACAATAGCAATAGCAATAACAATAACAATGACACATTTAGAAATAAGTAATTTATTGCAATGACATAAACATTCAACTTGATTAGACAATTGTCCGGATTAATCTATATAGTTAATTGGTGGATGCCTGTTCAATCCTTTGTTTACACAATGCAAGTTATTATTATTATTCAGCGATACTTGTTGAATCTTTGAAATGCTAAACAATGCAAAAAAAAAAAAAAAAAAAGAAAAGAAAGAAAAAAATCACACGTCACGCGATCATTGTTTTACAATGAAAAAATTCCAAGAAAGCGAATCTATTTGTTTATTGATTTAAAAATGATATTAGAAAGTAACGTAATACGTATGCACGCGCGCACGCACGCACGCACGCACGCACGCACGCACGCACGCACGCACGCACGCTGTTTTGTAACTTCAATATAATTCGCAAAACGTTTCTTTTATACGATCATCCGTAAAAAACGAATAACTGAGAATTTTATGAAAGTACTGTACGAATATGTATGGCATTGTAATCCGATAGTTAGAATTAAAAAATTAAATCACAACGGTAGTAAAGGGATTTATGGCGCACAAAAGATTATAGTTTTTAATAACTTGGTGGTTCATTTAGCCGATTAAATAAAACTATTAGTCAACAAACATTTTGTAACATTATGAAATATTTTATCAAGTCCGACCATAAAATACGATTGGCCAACGTGGAGAGAGATAGCGAAGTACTTATGAAATTCGGAAGCGCACAAAATATCACTTTATTTTAAATTATTAAAGACCAGACTGGAAGCACATCGAATTTAGTTTAGAGATAAGCGAACTAAACTTTGATATCGTCGGGAGGCATGATTTTTTCCCTTTTTTTCTTTTTCTTTCATTGGAATCACTTGTAAGTAAATACTGCACGACATTGCTTAACGATATGCCGAGGGATAAGATGGGGAACGAGCGAAATCACGATAATGAAATGTGTATTCAATCATTACTTAACATTAGCGTACAATTAACATGGTAATGTTCCTCAAATAAAACTTAACGCTTTACGATCTTCGCATTAACTAAGCATTTTAAAGTACTGTAAAGGTGTATCTTGTTATATGTAAAGCCAATAACATTTTACGAGCTTTTCGCTTTCTCAAAAATCTCGAGTGGGATTCGCCCGAATTACTTAATTTTGAAAGAAAAATTGAGCGTTAAGTGGCGCAAAATTTCTCTTAAAACGAGCATAATAAATATGTAAATATGCATTATTGCTAATGACTCGCCTCGCCACACCACGTCTCGTCTCATCTCGTCTCGTCTCGTCACGCCGCGTCTCGCCTCGCCTCGCCTCACCCCCTCCCATCGTCAACCATCCTTTTCGGATTAGCGAAAATATATGCGCCTTTAAAAAAAAAAAAAAAAACGGCCTCAAAAACAATAGAGAAAACGATCGCGTCTAATTATATTGGCAGACGAAATGCGCTATTTTCGATAACAATCGAACGCCGCCGGTGAATGATTGCCAAGCAACTTTTTCAAGAA